CAACATTGAATGAAAAAAGGATAGAGTTGAAAAAATGGACCAACTTATGGATTGTAGATTGGTTTGTGACAAGTCAAGGGTTGAAAATTTTTCACCCAATTCTAGCTACCCTTTTTTTTTTTGTTTCTTTACTTTTTTTTATCCAATTTTGTTAAATGAGTGGAATCTGCTTTTTATTTGTAAATTAATTATGCAAATATTAACAAAATATTTTCTAAATAAAAAAATACCTTTTACATTAACTATATTTAATAAAATTACTTTGTTTATTTTTAACTTGAAAAATGTGAAATTTTTAAATAAAGTTACCAATCAGGGTGGGGGAGATAATGTTGAGGAGACTTATTATGATAATGACTTGAAAAATGATATCATATTAAAAAAAAGAATAAAATGTGTATTTTATTCAAAGTTTTAATTAACAACGGTTTTCTCCTAATTCTTATAACTTAAAAAACAATGAATTGCATTAAAAAAAAACACTGATTATTTATAAAACACAAATCTATAATAGGGGAGAGGGATAAGGTATTAGATTTTAAGAATTTTGGAAGAAGTGATCGGAGAAGGGAAGACTCGAATGAGTAAATTAAAATTTTAAACAAAAAATATAAAGAAAGAAAAACGAGCTTACCCACAAATTGACAAATTAGCTGTAGAAAGTTGAAAACGACCCACTTCTAATAGAGCCTCCATTTACCCAACCCAAACCTGCCACTTTTTGATTAGTTGATGAGCTCAACCTATATTGTTAGCTCTAAACTAGGATGCTTACTCTTGATTAATAATGATGTATAAACTTTAGTACCCCATATGACATTAAATTGAAATATATAGATGGCATGAATGATGAAACACATGGAACATTGTCAATTTAGTTGATTAAAAAGCTTGTTGATTTGTGAGATGAGTTAACAGAAATTATATGCATTGCAAAACAAATTAACAATGTTTAGAGTGTTTTTATTATATCTTTAAATTTGACTATGACCTTTTTTATGGGATTTTTCTATCTTGTCTTGATCCTGAATGGAAGGGATGAGATAAAAAATTAGTTCTTATCCTTTTTCACGATTGGATGTGGGATATGGTTGTTATAATCCCATTTCGTACTATCCAGACTCCTACTTATATCAAGTAGGTATTATATAAATAAAGTCGGTATTATACTTAAAAAGGAAAAAAAAAGGAATAATGGGAGATACATTTTAGTGTGTTTATATGTTGTACTATAAATAGATTATATGATGGTAAATGCAGTTGACAATTTTTTTATATGACTATTAGATTAGATTAGATTCATTGTTGAACTAATTAGGGATAACTCTCACAAACACATTTTACGCATTCATATAAATCTAAACTTAAGACCCCATGCTTAAGTAATAATATAACCTATTTTACTAGAACCAATGTCTGTTATTGACAATTAATAAGTTTTAATATCCCAATCATAAAATATATTTGTACTAAATTCACTATTTAATGATTATATATATTGCATAATATTTAAATTTTTATTTAATATTAGTTCATGTAGAAATCAAGAATATCCCTGCATTCGGACGGGTGTATTGCTAGCTATAAAAAAATTGAACGGATAAGTTAGAGAAACTTTTTATAGAGGGAAAAAAAAATACAAATTTGAGATATTGGCTTGTTTATCCATAATTTATATAAGACATGAAGCTGGTGTAATAAAAATCAGAGGCGTATATCAGTAAAATATGTGAATTTAAAGAACAAGCCATGTTGGATACGTAAACTATATGATTTGTTATAAGCTGCTTATAGATATGAAATTGAAATAAATGATGGTCTGGTTTTTTTATAGCAATCTTTTGTTTGTAACGTGCAGTATAAAAGATAAGTTTTTTTAAGCCCTATAATTATAAAACACTTAGTTAATATTAATATAAGGTACAATTGTAACCCTATCATGGCCTTCAAGATCAAATATCAAAATCATCATCATTCGCTGACTCGAAACTGTAATACAAAAGTTTGGCCGAAAAAAAGAAAGAAAGAAAGGAAACCGTAATACAGAAGTGGAGTGTGGTATGGGATGGGGTTGGGGCCATCATAATGATGACATGTATAAACCAGGTTTAAATGTGCTTTATTCTTCTCTGTGACGACGCTTTTAATTGTTTGAATACATCATTCTCAATTTGGAAAAAATCTGTGAAACCGATGCTTTGCTTCGAATCAGCGACATGGAAAAAGTGGGGGAAAGACCCCGGGGGGGGGGGGGACAGGCTTCCTGTTTTGCTTGGTCAAGGGTGCACGCCGAAAGTTATCAAATTCAAACCCCTGTACTTTGCTAAATTGGACATGATTACAGGCCCAAAAACTTCTACAGGTTCAACAATATTCTTTTTGGGCTTTAGGAGCCCATATCTTCCCAACGAATCTGATAATAGAGCCCGAAAAACTGTTTTTTTAATTATTTAAATATCGATATATGGATTATTTATACAAATGTGCCGTGGTTATCATCTAAATTGAAGCCATTTAAGGAAGCAAGTCCCATAGAGAGGCATGTGAGAAATGGGGGAGGTTAACGATGGCCTCTCATCTGAATTACTAGTCCTGAACCTATTATTACTATCAAGCATTTCTCATAAACAGGTCTGGAGGTAGTGGCAGTTTGCAGCAAATATGTTACGTGTCCATGCTGCTTCCTTCTCACCCTGTTTACACAGTTTATGCCTGTTGATCCAACAACTATGGCGTACGTGCAGGAATCACATGCATAAAATTAACATGCTGTGCTCAAATCCAAAGAGTTGAAGCCAAACTAAATGGGCAAGTTTTTTGTGGGAGACCAATTGGCATCATCCATAATTATATATGATGCTGATAAGCCAAATCACGCTGGACCTCCCACCAAATAAACATCTATCCCATCAGCGGGCTTTCTTAATCTGTTCCATCATATCACATCATCATCATATCATGTGAAACCTCCTGTTGGGTTGTTTTGTTTATGTTTGAAAAATATCAGAGTATGTGACAGATGGATGTGCACAGTGATGGGATCAGGATCTGACTGTGGATTAATTTAATAAAAAAGTATTACTTTTTAAAAAATAATAATAATTATATTAGAATTAAAATTATAATAACATAAATAAATTTATTATTATTTTTTTAAAAAATTGTATTGAATAAATTCATATAGTTTTTTAGTATAAATATACTCTTCATATTTTATTTAAATTATTAAAATACTATATATTTAATAAGTTTTTAAATTTAACTATTTTTTATTTAATTCAAAGATAGTAAAATATTAAAATAAAAAGTGTAAAGTTGTAAATTTTACATTGTCCACTTGCAATTTTCCCCAAAGCGAGGCACCCCAACGCGGCTCCGCCACTGGATGTGCAGAAAACTTTAATTCATATACATACATATTCCCTTACAAGTGTATGAGTCTGCTATATAGTTAATCGAAGTGTTAAAATATGCTGGAGATGATTGCAATCTGATGCAAACACACGCAATCTCGGCGCGAAAATATTTGGGGAGAAGTAGCAGGGATATTGAAATTAAATAAGAATTGACAAAGCAGGGAAGCAGATCACTGTAAAATGACAGATGGATGTGCAGAAAACTTGAATGGAAAGATATGCCGTGGCTCAGCAGATGTTGATCTCTCTCACAAACCCACTTTTCTTGATCTGTCAAATGCTCTGGTTTGGCACACAATCATCTGATCTTTCTCCTCCATAGACAGCGACAATGCACAACTGTCTTGACTCTTGAAAACACCATCCCACCAACTCTCCCACACAAAAGAAATCGAGGATATCTACACATATCGGAAAATATGAATGTTCGATGATTTCCTGCACGAAATGATATGGTAGAAAAGAAGACTGGTAAACTCGGAATATGCTACATTTATGGCTCGCATTGAAATGATGGTTTATAGTAATTACCCAACTATGTATCGAAAAAGGTTTTGGACGCAGAGGGAAGCAAAACGGCTCGTCCATTTCATTGGCCTTAAATATGAACCGAAACACGCACACCCAAACCATGTGGTCGATGCTTGGGATGGTAGCGAGGTTGGTTGGACCATCCTTGTACCTCTTAACCGCACCCGATTGTCCTCTTTTTATTTACTATATTTTTCTCCGCGTACCCTTCTCTCTTCTGTGCTCCAAATCCTTTTCTTTGCACGTCAAGTTGTTTTTGGATTTTGGGTATGTCAAACAACGAGGGCCCTCCACTCCATGGAGTAAAAATCTCAGCTGGTGACTGGACCAAATGTTCTAAAAATCAAACCAACAAAAGCAATTGGTGCTTTCTTGGACCTTAATTTCTTTTCCTTTGTCAATAAGCAGCTGTAGTTTTTTGGTGTTTCGAGTCCGGCGGAAACACGGTGAGTGCATAGTACGTTGATAATAGAAGACAGAGGTGGAGATCAGTCTTGTGCGATACGGAATTGAAGGGAAGTACTCGAGCTAGCTCAGCCAATAATAATCGCAGGAACATGAACGGGCTAACAATTATTTAAACGATAGATAATAGATGTCACAGATAACGATGGGATGCGATGTGTATAAAACCACCTGCTTAAACTTATAATATATATGAATGCGTGAATTTAAAATTACGAAGATAGAACTGGAATGGGGACCCAACAACACAGGACAAGTCCTTACAGACATATCATGTATGAATGATGATGAAACAGCAGCCATATGACGAATCTCTTTCCGGTGTAAAGAGATTGTGTGGTGTATGAATGCATGGAGTGGACCGATGATGAACAATGCCGGTCCATTGTAAAATTGTCTCATAGTACTTTGGAATCCCTTTTCTTTACTTTTCTTTTTTTAAAATTCTTTTCATGGATGATTTATATTGGTGTGTGTATATGGCTAGCGATCGATTGCTTCAGATTCACAGTGAATGTTGCAGCTGAAGGGTTTTGTGCTTTGCTTCTTGTCTGATGCCCCTTCGCAGTTCCCATGTGCAACTTGCTTGCACCCGAAACAGGGAAACCAACCACTACTAGGGTTTTACTCTTTTTACCCTGCCTATGTTTCTAACCTCAAAGTCGCAGATGTGGGCCCACGGGACTCCTCTCGTTGAGTATTTAATTGACAGCAGTCAAAGTCGCGGGGCGTTACACACATTGTCTAGTCGATCAACGTTACAAAAATCACGACTGGCCGATTTTTCTCTTCACATCTCTCGTTCGTTGCTTAAATGAAACACGACGCCAGAAGTTTGATTAAGAACCAGTTATTATTTCCACATCGCGGGTATATATGAAGAGACAGCCTTGTTGTCTTGGGGGTGCATCGAGAAAAAGAGTGACAAAATGCGAGGCATAGTTGGAAGTAAGCTCAACCTGTGTTTCTCAAAGATGATGCGACCATTTTCACCTGAATCTCCTCCGAATTCCACCAGCCTTAACTCAGGGTCATCCCCAGATGACCACCCCTCCTCGTCGTCCTCGTCCTCGATTTTGGTAAAGAACTTCAATTCGCTCTACGATCACACCTTTGACCCTTACGAGCCCGAAGCCGAACCCGCTGACTTGGCCACCGCTTTTGCCTCCGAACGATTCTTCTTCTCGTCTCCTGGTCGCTCCAACTCTATCATCCAATTGCCGTCATCGCCATCAGCCCCTGAAAGCCCCCATACCAACAAGCTCTTCACAAACAGCGTGGCCGTGCCGACGTACTCGCCTGACCCTTATATGGACTTCCGACGATCTATGCAGGAGATGGTGGAGGCGCGTCCCGAGCTGATGGATGTCAAGTCCAAATGGGAAATGTTACAGGAGCTTCTCCTTTGCTATCTCGCTCTGAATCCACGGACCACCCACAAGTTCATCGTGGGCGCTTTTGCAGATCTTCTTGTCACCCTCACGTTTCCGCCGCAGGAGGCGGCCGCCGGCGGTGAGGGATGTTAGATTAGATTATTGTTCATACATGTCTACTGAAATTAATGAAAATGGAACGTGGGTGCCAGATAATGATTGTCCAATCTGCTTCCCGTTATTTTTCATGTGGGGAACCTCAAAATTGGTCCCCTCGCCCCCATCCATCCGTTGTTGTCATCTCAAACTCTTGTGCTCCTTCACTTCCATTTTCTTTTTCTTAAACTCCTTCTGTTCTGGTCAGGCTTTCAATTTGAGGCTGGGTTACTCCTATATCTCGGTTGATCGCTTGTGATAATTCTCACCTTCTTATCCGTAGAAAGTAAAGGCAAGCTTGAATTGTTTTATAAGTGATTTAATTATGAACTGATTAAAATGAGCATGTCAAAACTTTCATCGGTGTTGCTATTATCTACATGGCTGAAGATAGGAAATTCTGGGTGCGACTCTGGTTTCTTCTCAAGATCTTGACTTGTGATTATTAAAATCCTCAGATTCTTCATTAAAAATGTAAAGCTTTCAGAATAGGCTTCTATTAATTGGCTGGGTTTATTTATTTAGTTTGTAGACGGTAGTGAAATTATGAACAGACAAGAACAAGCCTATCACTTACTCTGCTTTTGAATGCTCAGAATCGTTGCATCGAGACAATGGATAGCTAGCAAAAAGCCAGATACAGAACAATAATATAATCACTGGCAGACGTAGACAGAATCGGGGAATCTCAAATTTGTCTCCTTTTATTCTATTTAATATAATCGGATGAGTGGGTCTAAGCCATGCACAAGATTCAGTCAAGTGTGTCCTTTTTTCTCTTCCGTCCTAAAAGATTCAGTCACTGAAAATTGCCTTTGTTACTTGAATTTCCTGTGAATACAGTGGCAGCATGTGGAAGGAGTTAAATCAGCTCTAAGGACTTGTATGTATTAAAAGAAAATTTCTGTTTTTATTTAAGTTACGATCTACATTTATGTTTTCATATTTCATGCTGTGCTTTCTAGAGTGTATTGACTTTTTCGCATTCGCATATATGCCCAGAGTTGAATTAACAAACGTTGATTTATGAGATGCAATTTGTCGGCGTTATTATTATCATTATTACTAACCCATAATAACCAGAGAATTTCAAACAGGAGCAGCTGAGTTATCGACAATAAAACCGTCGAATGATATCTGTGCTGAGCAATATACTTATAACATGTCTTTAGTCTGATTATTTTTTAAGCTTAGGCTTACCTCTTGTAATTCAAAAAAAAAAAAAAAAGAGAGCCGTGGAATAGGGGCCGGTTATATGGGAAAAGAAGGCCCTTAACAAGATGAATAAATGAGCCATACTTACATCCATTGTGCCTTAATTAAATAATTATCATTTTGCCATGTTGGAACGCTCAAGAAATTTAATCCAAATTTATGCTCTTTTAGTATTGTAAGTTGTAACAGAATATTAAGTGACAAATCACCCCCAAAAATTATAATTACGTTTGAAACGGAGTTGATTTTGTTTTGCAAGTTAACAGAATTCATCAAAGAAGGGACTTGATCAAAGATTAATTTTAAATGGAGAGTCAAGATCAACGGTTATCATGGAGAGAGATGGGCTAGCTGCCCATCACGCGTTGCCCCCCTGGCAAGGAATCTGATAAAAATTGCTCTTTAAAGTTTGGACGATGTTGATCTCCAACACCTTATTCATTTATACTGGGAATTCTTATTTTTTATAGAAAAACAAGAGGTGGATAATAAAAAGAAGGGTTAAGAGTTAAAAATATCCCCCAAATATATATGAAGAGTTGCAAATCATCATAAATTCAACTATGTGTTATTTATATCCCTTAACCATTGTTTTGAAAACTGGACCGGACCGAACGATCGGACCGTCGACCGGTCTGGTTCATAAGAAAAAACTGTTTTAGGAGTTGACCTGGGTTGATCCATTTTAAATCGGAAACTAGAATCAAGTTGGGAACCGGATCCGATTTTTAAAAACCGGACTGTTCAAATTTTTTTATTTTTATCAAATTTTTTAAAAAAATAACTAATTTTTTTAATTATTTAATATTATGCTGTATCATGTGGCTTGTTAAATAATGATAAATTTAAAAAATTTGATTTTTTAAAGTTAAATAGCAATTTCATATGTATTTTTTATATTTAAATTATTATATACATATATAATTTTTTTAAATTTAATTATTACATAACCGGTTGGCCCGGTTGACCCATACGAACCGTGAACCGTTGACTTTTTCGGTTCAATATTCGGTTCAGTTTTAAAAACATTACCCTTAACTTTAAAAAATCGCTGCTCTTTTACATTGACGTAATAGATCTATTATGTGGGTCCCATATATTATTTTTTATTTTTTATTATAAAATATTTGCTTGTTGGTCCCACATAACTTTTTTTATATTTTTTCCTCCTCCTTCTCCACATTCTCTCTCCCCTCCGCACACACATCTTTAGCAAAAACAAAGCATGCTCTCTGTCTGCACTCTCCCCCTGTCTCTTCCCTCTCTCCTCCCCTACTCTCTTCTTCATTTCTACCATAATTACCTCTTTCTCAAGCTTTCTCTCTCCTATTAGGAGTCCTCTGCCTTGCAAGCATGCTCTCTCTCTCGTGACACACACAGAGAGAGTTTTGGTTTTGGAGGGAGGTGGTGGAGCAAAAGGGGAGTCAGATGAGGCCACAAGGGAGAGAAGGGGGGAGAGAGCGTGCATGCATGTCTAGCCTATCCAAAATAGTCATTGGAGCTATCATGGCATCAACGAGGATGATGACTAGAGGGAGGAGGGAGAGGACGAGAAGAAGGGAGAGAGAGTGCAGAAGGAGATTGAATAAAGGGGAGGGAGGGAGAGGAAAAAGAGGAAGAGGGAGTAAGAGAGATGTTGTCTGAACCACGAACAAGACGTGGCTCGTTGAGGATGGCCTTGTAGTTGAAGTATGCGAGGCCATCAACGTTGCACTAGTTCCAGATGCATTTGAGGAGGTCAATGAAGGAGGGGCTGTGAGAGATGAGGTGATGCCAAACCTGTGGCTAAGATGGGGGAGAGAGAGACTGTAAAGAAGAGAGAGAAACTATATAGAGGAAGGGAAAAAGAAAGAGGAGGGGGAGAAATGGGAGGGAGGAGGAAGGGAGAGAAATTTTTTAAATTATTAAAAAATATAAAAAAACTTGGGAGGCCCCATAATGCAATATTTTATAATAAATAAATATTAAAAAATTTTAATGTGGGGACGACTAATAGAGGAATTAATGATAAAAAGGGCAGGGTGAAAGTTTTAAAAATCTTATTGATTAAGGAATATAAATGACTTATAATTGAATTTAAGATTATTTATGATCCTTTGTGTGCACTTCAGGAACATTTTTGACTCTTATCCCTAAAAAGAATATTAGCTAGATTCACAACAGAATTATCATCATGCTTGAATTCAACTTATAAAGATGCCTAGAGTAAGGTTGACTTTGCCCAGCTTCCTATATCAACAACTCCATTTTAAGATACAATTATCTACAAAACAACTTTGTATTACCTCTGTCCTAAATTGCATTGCCGAATGCCATATGTTAACCAAACCCTATTACCCCCTCCAAATTTTTTGAAGGGAACCAAAAAAAAAATCCATACTCTGGCGTTGCAAAGTTGCAAATGGATCAAAGAAATCAACTAGCTTTGTTTGATAAAACCATCACTTTAGTACCACCAGTAGAAGCATAATGATGATTCATGTAGGGACAGAGCCAAAAATTTTTATTAAGGAGACTGAGATAACAATATATATAATAATAATTAAAGAAAAGCTATATATATCACCGACATACTATAAATATTTCAATATATATATTTATATTTATATTTAATTTTATACATGTATAACAATCAATATATATATATACATATTAAGTTATGCTCATTAATTTTTTATGGTATAAAAATTATTATATCTATGATAAATGTTTTAACAATTTCCTTCTCGATATGAATTTATCATTAAATTGATAAAAAATTAATCATCCTTATGAACATTAAATGATTTAAATACATCATTAGAATCTAAAGTTCTGTTCAATATAATAAGCTATATTACTTATTTATTGAATTTACTATTTAATTTTTTAAATTGATAATTATAGTAAATAAATATATCAATACATTAATAATACTCAATTGTCAAAAAATCTTTATGTCAATGAGATTAAATAAAAGAGTAAAAATTACTCATATTATAAATTTTAATAGCTTGATTAATTTTTTTTAAAAAATAACTTTTTTAGCAGAACATCTTTACCAAACCTCTTAACTTTTGAATAAGTAATTTTATAATAAATATTAAACACATATCATTCAATATATCTTGAAATTTTTATTGCAATACTTAACAAAGTTTGTTAATAATAATAATTTTCACAATTTCTTTTATTAAATATAAAGTGAAAGCAAAATAAAATGATATCAATACTTCAAGAACATGTACAACATTATATTGTTGAAAATAAATAGATCCTATGACAACAATATTTTCAAGCCACTAAAATAGTTATTCTATATATACGTAAAAGACTATATATAAAATTAAAATGAGAATTTCATTTAGTGTTTTATAACTTCTATAACAATTCAGATTTCAAAATATCCTAAAACTTATATCAATATTTCATTTCATATAAGGCACAATTCTACTTAGAACAGCATAAGAAATAAAGTCAAATTGTAAATCATTTCAATATATGGACACTAGATTTTACAACTTTGACAATAAATATTGAAATAGACAGGATTTCAGCCATATCTTGACTGACATAAAATATGAAACCCAAAGAAACAAGATGCTTAATTCACTACTAATTCAACCTTGAGCTAAATGATAGGGCACAAAACTCTTCACGTGCTAGTTTGAAGCTAGTATTACAATCAGACAGTTCACAAAACTCAAAGTAGTACTTAGAATAAGTTATGATCAAGTTAATATGCCAGCTGAACTTCATAAACAAGATCTGAACATGAAAAAAACATATCATACTTCATGACATCTGTTTCCACAAAATGCATCACAGGAATAAATGATCTGGGCACAATCCACCTCAATACAGGATCTGTGATCTACAAAAGATAAAAGTTCACTTTGTGCTTAGTGAAAAGAGAAAATACATGCCTTGAGTATCTAATTAAAAAAAGGCAGGTCTATAAAGAATTACATTTTTGTCCACACAAGCTGTAACAGCCCCCTGGGTCACCACTGCCTCTCCAGGGTCTTTTCCCAGGCGCTGGACAACACACATGTCACCACATGATTGCCGGCTTTCCCACTGGTGGTACAGTGGTTATTCCTCACCCCACCCTCACGGGGGTCTTTTGGAACCTCCCCAGACTCGAACCTCCAACCTCTACCACCTTAATGAAGTTGAGGCGAACTTGACTCAATGGTACCAGACTTCGCCTCAACTTCATTAAGGTGGTAGAGGTTGGAGGTTCGAGTCTGGGGAGGTTCCAAAAGACCCCCGTGAGGGTGGGGTGAGGAATAACCACTGTACCACCAGTGGGAAAGCCGGCAATCATGTGGTGACATGTGTGTTGTCCAGCGCCTGGGAAAAGACCCTGGAGAGGAAGTGGTGACCCAGGAGGGCTGTTACATAAAAGGCGCCTTTTATGTAACAGCCCTCCTGGGTCACCACTTCCTCTCCAGGGTCTTTTCCCAGGCGCTGGACAACACACATGTCACCACATGATTGCCGGCTTTCCCACTGGTGGTACAGTGGTTATTCCTCACCCCACCCTCACGGGGGTCTTTTGGAACCTCCCCAGACTCGAACCTCCAACCTCTACCACCTTAATGAAGTTGAGGCGAAGTCTGGTACCATTGAGTCA